CCAGTAGATATAATACAGCCACCTTCTTACCCAATAGATAAAACCCAGCCTCCTTCTGTCCGAGTAGATAATCCTGTCTCCTTCTGACCCAGTATATATAATCCAGCCACCTTCTGCCTACTTTCAATGTTACTAGTTAAAGGCTTAGATATGTTAAACACTTACCAACTTCTGTGAATTCAAAACAATGTCTACAGGTATAGATCAATGTACTACGTGGGTGCGCGAAATAGTCACAAAAATACATATTTACAGTGTTTTTAATAGACTCTAAATAGAGTAGGGTTCAAATGTGAAAACTGCAAGTTAGAATTATCTGTAAGATGCTTGTTTTCAATGATGAGAAACCAAAGGTTGACATATATAACTGGCCGAGTTTTTACACACGACACTCTGCCATCCAAAAATGTACTAAACTTGTGTACAGCAACGGATGAGTCTTGGTCAGTTATTACAGGAGAAAATTCCCAGACAAATTGTGACTGGATGGACGATGTGAAACCCTGTAGTACCAGCAGGGGACAAATAAATGACCTTGACCTTCTTCCAATGTCATATCAGTTTTTGAAGAAGTTCTTTGATGCTTCATACACTCTCTGCCCTCCAGAACTTGGAAGTAAGTCAATGTATTTCATTTAAACATGCTTGAGCAAAGTTCTGCTCCTAGACAAGCTACAGAATAAATGCCCTGAATCTAGGCTTCAGGTTCTGTAGAACAATCATTTGAAGATTTATTATGTACTTTTCATCACCTGCAACATCCTACATATTACTTCACGAGATGTCCTACCATGCAATGTCCTTAATATGACTTCATTACAGGTTCCATCTTTCCTTCAAGTCGTAGTATTTCTAGAATATATTTTGAAGAAAAACATAGCACCCAATGACTTAGCCAAAGCGTTTTATTGACCATGACATGTTGTATTTGAGGTCTGTGTAACAGACAAAACCAAACAATTCAGGAATGGCTCCTTGTACAAACAGGTATACACCAGGGCAAGTTCAAATGTCCAACATCCACGGGATCCACAGAATTCTACAGAAATCTCTCTCCCCATAAACGTGTTTCTACAGAAGTTGTGAGTTGTGACAATTTGAGGAGAAGATAGTCTGCAGCACACCAGTGAAGTGGACAATCCATGTTGTCATGGAAACTTGTCCCACATGTCGTGTCAAAGTTCACATGACAAATGCAACAAAATCCTCACTCTTAACACCTTCAGTGCTGTTCTTGCATCTTTCAGACAGCAATATACTAAATCAATCTTTACATTAAATATTAATGACTTTTGATTTCCTTGTATTTACTTATCATGTCTCTCAACATAAACAGGTGTCAATGCATTTCAGAAAACATCTTACCTAAGATGAAGTTTTTTACCTTAAAAAACTCATAAAACCCATAAATAACTAATAACAGATGGAAAAATATTTATCTGAATTCTGGAATTTTTGTTGCATCAATGTTTATGTGAACTGTAATAAGACATGGGCATTTATGTTTGGACAGACAGACAGGCACTTGTTGGCTCACAAACATAAAAACCAATCAAACACAGGTAAACAACAGGCAGATACAGGTACATACAGGTAAACATTTAACAGGTAACCAGATCACAAGACTTCAAAGTCTATCTAGCTTTGCATTGTATTATTACAAGATTCTTAAACACATTATTCCAATGAAATAATAAAAATAAAAATAAAATTATCATGTCCATCTTCCCAGGTACAACAGAAACTAATTACTTGTAAACGTTTTTGAATCCACAACTGAAGCTAGGCAGACTTTGACAATTTTATAAACACCATCAATTTCTAGGTTTAACTGCACAATACTTATTTTGACTATGGCTTGATATAAAAAGGTGAAAACAAACAAGTCTACACAAAAAACACGGTTACAAAAAAGGACAACTGCAAGACAATGACTATTTTCTGAAATACTCCTAAATGGTTAAAAAGAGCCTTATTACCTCTGCAGCAAACTTCATTAATTACAGGTATTGAATATAAAGTATGGGTTTTGAGAGATTCTCTTCCTTAAGATATGTTTGTGTTACAGGGTTCTTCAAATAGTTCCCATATATAACACTTCCATTGCTAAATGCTTTATCCATAGTTTTACATCCAACATACAATTTTCTACATTAAAGTTTTCCGAAAGCTAGCATAATACATCCTTTGAAATATTCTTTATCACACTTGCAATATATTTTTTTAACCATGGTAACCAGACGAAAATAGGCCTAGTTTCCTATTACATTATTAAATCAAAGCATTGAAAAGATTAAGGTGAATTTGTGCCAACATGACATGCTTCACAAATGAATTCAGAGCAGAATATAGACTAGCAGCCGACGACAACTACAGGTCGATCTACAGGTCGATCTAGGCCTATTTTATCAAGTACGATTGTAGAGCATTCCATGAGTTTAGCAAGTGATTTAGTTGCATCATAAAAGACGATTATTTCACTACTTCACTGTTGATAATAAAAATGGTGTATTTGTTAAAAATATTTTTACTAAACAATCTTCTTTGTGAAATAATATTACTTTGACATTCAAATAGTGTCACTTCTGGGTTTTGACAGCTGAAATGGGAAGAAAAACACGTTTTCTCATTATTTCATGTTCCGGTTAATATCATGTTTTCATCTGACAAATGAGAAGTGATATTAGGCGAAATATGTCAAATATGCTGAAGTGCTGCATAAAAGTTTAAGTTTTCAGCACATCTGACTTATCAGCAAACGGATGACTCCATGACTTTTACTTGTTGAAAAGTATTTATTTAGATCATCTTTAAAGTACTCTAATCCAGCAATTTTCAGACTTCAAGCCTTCTAGTTCTTAAAAAGATTTTTTTTTATTTTTTTCTTCTCACATATGATTTCTGTTATCTTGTAAGTACGAAGGTCACAGTAATTTGAATACACCTTATAGTCCTTTATATGTACCAGCAAGACACAGACTAAATTATCAGGTCTCAAGGTTCAGTGAAATAATTTGGTTATAGATTTTGAATCATTTAAAGTGTCTTCACCACAGAAGCCTACAGATACAAAAATGTGATAGCCGTTCATGTCAGCAAGTTTTATTATCAAATAAGAATAAAGTTATTTGAATATTTGAACACATTGACCCCTGTGACCTTGAATGTGGGTCAAAGTGGGTCATTTATTTAAACAAATGGAATAGCCCTTGCTCCTAGTAATCTAACATAGCAGATATCGTTACTCTAGGCCTTAGTTCTTAGTCCTATCACCACTGTAGACCATAATAGACTCATCCAGATCAATGCATGGTAGAGTCTACTAAAGTTACATAGGGTGACAGGGTTAAGACGAATTCATTCAAAGAAAGAAAGGATGCTAGACACCACACCATCGTTAAAGCTCACAGGCATCCTATTGTATCAGAGTAATATTGCATTTAAGTCATCATAATACTTCTAAGTTAAAACAGAAAAACTCGGAAAATATGCAAGCACAAGTACTTACACTAATATAAAGGAAGAGCTAGGAACTCGGGACAAATACAAACAACACACTCGTGTCCAACAGTGGACATCCATTCCCTACAGATCTCGTCGGCACAAAAAAAAAAAAAAAAAATCTGTGTTTGCAAATTTATGTCTCAAATTTACATCTAGTACTTCTTGAAGACCATTGGACCCTCTTAAAGTAAACTCCCTTGAAATGGCTTTTCTATGGCAGAATCTTCTGTGTTTATATTTAGCTAGAGTGTATCTGACATTGACAGCATCAAAGTGTTACTAATAAGCTATACCTCTGTATTACCATTATGATAGCAGACACTGGTAGAATATGTATCACTGGAATCGAAACCATTCGATAAAGATACATCTTTCGTGTATACATGTGTTATGCGAGGTATAATCAGGTATATAGATTCCTTACGCAGATAAATGTTTACCATGTCTGATATAGCTATGACTACAACTTCAATGGTGAAATGTGAATACCGTATTTGCCCACCTTGTAATAAGATATTTGATGATTTATACAATTTTGTAATACTCTCCCTCCATTGTGATATGTTTGTATTTACTACTGAATTGCTAACATTACATATTGGTGTTTCTGCATGTGGGGAAACTTTTGACCAGTCTAATATTAGCCCTTCCCTGGTAAAAACCATTACGCCCAGTATCAATTTTGCCTTTAAAATGTAATAATCATATGGGGTATGCTTTTTACTAATATTCTCTGTTATTATAGATTCGCCCTCAGTGCGAGGGGCAAAAAAAAAGGCGAAAATTAAATTGGATCGAAAATTTTCCAATATATGTATATCTTTTATAAAATATATCTTTTATAAAATATTGAAACGTGTTATATTTCAACAGGTTATAACAACAAAGATACATCATAATCTTTGGTGTAAGTATTTTCCTCCCTTGTATCAATACTACTCTACTTAATTTCAGTATTCACCAACTGTACAATGTAGTGTACAAAAACCTTGATATAATGCCACTTTGCTTAAAGCCAACATATTTCATGGTCTCTATTTTCAATAAAAAAAAAATCAAGACTTTTTTTTCAAAATGTTTCCCTCAATTTTTTGTAAAACCCCTTTATAACACCAGAATTTCTCCTGAAAAATGTTGGCAGTATAAAGAGGTTTTACTGTATGTTATTTGGACTCCGTGAAGGGAATATGAAAGATTATTGAGATTCTGATCCCCATCACCAATATAAATATACTACGTAGCTAAGCCCATAAAATAATTATGTTAATTTTATGTAAATTCTTCTATAGTGATGCACTAGTATTTATTCTCGGACAAAGTTAAACAGTATCACACAGCTTTGTAGACACCTCCCCTCAAACACAAATCACATGTTAAAATATTAAACCACAAACACTGTTAAAGCTGAACCCTTTGTTGGGGTTTAATTTTGTTGTTTATGTATCGGGACTAGTTTGTTATAGAAATATATTTATGGACAGTAACATAAAGTAATTGATATTTTATGTATTTAAATATTTGTTATTTTCTAAATCCATGAAAAATATGAAATAAAAAAAATCCCCAAACTAAATTTTATGACTTTACAGTTGACATCAGTCTCCATTGATTTGAGTCCTTTTCAACAGGGCTTTTATAACAATAGGAAATTAAATACAAAATACTTCATTTTTCTTTAAAAACTAACTTAAATCAATGTATTAAGTACACAGAGTATGCAGGTACCATATTAACGATACTATAATAATTATACCTTGATCTATCCTGTATTGTAGGGGAGATAACTCATCAGTTCTTGCCACAGATCAAGAGTTATCTCTTCTTGTTACATCCGAACATATTTGTGTAACTCACTATAAAGGAGAGATTCAGTCAAATTACTACTGTATAATGGTGTACAATCCTATTTCTTATACAATCCAACGATGGATAGGTATATTCTTCATCATCAACACAAGGAAATGACAATACTAAACAAGTGGCAGTTCAAAAATCTATGTACAGCAAAACCCACTTAACTCATCAAGTCACAGGGTCTGGGAAACAAACCTGAAGCTATTCGGTCGAAGAGCACTTGACTCATTTGAGTTCAAGTTGGACAGGTTACTGAATTTCATTAGGATAAGCCAGAAAAGGTATAATGATCATTTGTGTTTGATTTAGAAAATGTGCTTGAATCATCTTGATCCGAATTACAAAAGGTATTCAACTCATTTAAGCTCAAGTTATTTAAGTCATACTTGTTCGAGGTAACTGTGTTTTACTGGAGATCATGTATAAGAAGAGAAAATCCATATTTAATTTTACAAGTACCACATGTACATAGTTGATACTAATGCCCAACACAATCCAACCCAACATATCTATTACAAGATGCAAATCTTGAGAAACCTCAGCCTACCCAGCTAATCTTAACAAACCCCTGACTACCCAGATTTCACACGACGTTAGTCTTAACAAATCCTACAATATCCACACTTCTCAATGTGTTAACCTTACCAAAGCAGATCTTTTGTGACATTCAATACGTGATAAATCATTTTAAATTTAATATAATTTGAATTCATGGTGCAAAAATGAACTGACTCATATCCGACAAGTAGAATTAAATAACAAGTTGGATGGAAGTTTCTCTGAGCATAACTATATTGCTTACATTAATCTTAAAAGAAAATCCATTTCTGAACACAGTTTTTCATTTATAACGACTTAAGGACTGGGTATGGCAAATGCATTGCCGAAACTGGTAATGACAGCCTACATGGTTTATGGTTATGAAATAAACATTAATTGTATTCACACATCAATAAGTGTCCATCACAAATTTGTGTATCACGTTAGGGACGGTCAAATCAAAACCTGCGATGTCCAGCATCCCTCTGTCGTCCTGCTCTGCCACCCTCATTGTGGCATTGGTGAAGCCGCATGTCACCATTCTGTGGGGAGAGAAGTAATATGTTAAGTTTGTATCACAAGAAAATGATTTCATATCAATATGTATTTATGTTCCTTTCACTTGCCTTACATGAAGCTACCCAAGTCCCATTCTACAAATGAGGTGTTCTCATTCAATTCAAAGCTTTGCTCTAGCCTATGAAAACCTTGATGAAAATGCATGTGTGGTTCTGATTTAAGATAACAATACTAACAAGAGGTCCAGTGGACCTGTATCGCTCACCTGGTTTTATATTTAAGTCATTACAACTGAATGCATTAGTACATCTTTATATGAAATTTCCTCAAAACCAGACAAGATCTATGTTCTAACCCAACTGGGACCATAATATCTGACTTTCAACTAATCAGAGGCCCCCATTGTGTTGCCATGTTAACAGATTTTGAAATAAGTAATATGTCATATTACTGGGTGTAATTAGACAATACTTTAATTTTCATTCAAGTATAAGCTTTTATAAACCTAGAAACCAATTTTTAACAATTTATGAAAACAACACCATAGAATAGGATAATCTAGCTGTACCATTTCTTAGGACCGCAGGGGTCAAATCAACCTCATTTATTTTAGAAATGATTGCCCTATTCTAGTGATGCTTCAGACTGAATTTGGTTGAAATCCTCTCTGGCGTTTAGGAGGAGATGCATTTTAATGCAAGTTTAGCTAAGTTCCCCTTCAGGACCCCGCCCACATGGCCTCAGGGGTCAAACCAACCTCATTTATTTAAGAAATGATTGCCCTATTCTAGTGATGCTTCAGACTGAATTTGGTTGAAATCCTCTCTGGCGTTTAGGAGGAGATGCGTATTAATGCAAATTTAGCTAAGTTCCCCTTCAGGACCCCGCCCACATGGCCTCAGGGGTCAAACCAACCTCATTTATTTAAGAAATGATTGCCCTATTCTAGTGATGCTTCAGACTGAATTTGGTTGAAATCCTCTCTGACGTTTAGGAGGAGATGCGTTTTAAGGCAAATTTAGCTAAGTTCCCCTTCAGGGCCCCGCCCCTCTGGTCTCAGGGTCAAACCAACCTCATTTATTTAAGAAATGATTTCCCTTCCCTAGTGATGCTTCAGACTAAATTTGGTTGAAATTTTCTCTGGTGTTCACTGCTGAGGGGAGGTCCCTATACACAGATGGTCTTTACACCTACTTTGTATTGGGCATGTCCATGTCTTTCCTGTACTGTAGAAGAGCATCGTGGGGTGGGACCTTTCCTGTAGACTTATCCCGATTGTCCGTCAGGAACAGGAATACATCCACAGCCTTCTTGTTCTCCCTCGCCCATTTGATTGGTGCTGCAATGTCACATGGTGGAGGAGGCGCCTACAGAAGAATGGACAACGTATATTTAGCATTTGTTGTGCACATTCTATACACTGGTCATATAAGTATGAAATTTTGTGCATTTAGGTAGTTGATTTTTTACTGATATGCATAAAGCTTCTTGAATATTTCACTGATGAAATAGTGTTCCATTCACCCCTTTCACAAGTGAATTTTACTTGTGTTCTTGATCTTAGGATAAAAACATAACCCAATATTTACCCCTCTAAACACTGGTTCATCATTCTTTGGCTTGTCTTCTTCCTACAAACACAATGGAATTTCATCACAGTTAACATTACTTTTTTTCTTACAATTTCAAATTGGACCAACAGGAAACACATAGTGATGAAGAAAAACTTATAAATATACTGATTAACATTCAATTGTTTTAGGGATATCTGGGAATAAGAACAATTTTCGGGTCAATTTTACGTTATAAGCTTTACTTTTTATTTATCCGAATTCAATTTTAGCTACCTTTTGAGGATAGCCTAAACAAAAGTTAGCCCTGAAATATTTCAGAATCTGTGTGCATTTAAATATTCTAAAGTTTTCTTTAACCAAGCATATGTTACCCACTGGTTCTGGGAGGTTGTCTGCAATGATGATTTGTGTGGCGAGTTCATCACAGATGTCAGCCAGCTTTGACTCGGCGCTGACAGGAAGAGAAGTGACACTACGGGTGAAATAGACAACATCAACCTTCTCCTCGCTCTTTAAGGTTATTGACGTCATGGCGGCAGCAGCAATGATGTTTGAGAGGACTTGTGTGCCCCGTACTGTTAGCTTCCCCTTACTCACACCTACACGTACTGCCACCAGGTAGCGCTTTTTGGTCGCCTCCATATTGTTCTGTGTAAAAGACAATATGAGAATGCCATAGTTTCAAATGGAGAATAAATGGCTCTTAAACAAATATAATATTTATTCTATTAATAGTAACAGTGACCTTGACTTTGGATCTATGACCCTATGCATATCAGTAGAAAAACTCCAGCAAGTATCTTTTTTTTTAATTAATAGAAACAGTTAACTTTGCCTAAGACTGATGACATGGTAACAAATTTTAATAAAGTTTTTTTTTTGTACCAAATACCTTCTGAAGTTTTATCCATATCTAAGAAATATGCAAACAGTAGAGCAATGACAAAAAAACTCTTTTATTAGTAACAATCAACTTGATTTTAGATGCATCTGGCAAGGAAAACTCAAGGGACATAACATATGGGTGCTTAAATTTGACACTAAGTTTAGTTCTTTTTGTTGATTTGCAGGGTATATGATACATGGACTATCTGTGAGCTGCAATACCTACATGTACAACACATGAAGCCTGACTGCTGATCAGGCGGTAAGCTTCATGTAAGGACAGTTTCACATAACTGTACCTTAATTGTGGAATCAAAGGCTAAGTCCAGGCCACGAACCACCTCCTCATTGCGCGACCACCTGGGCTTGCCTCCCTTGCCTTGCTCGTAGATTCTGGAGGCCAGCAGGACAGACAATGGCTCCACCCTGTCCGCAAACAAAAATGTTTTGAAATAAATATAATTTGATGAAATGCATTTGTTATTACATTACATAAAACTTGTGAAATATAAGATTTTACAGTGAAAATGAAGTTGGTATTTTTCTTCTCGGATAATCTACATTTCAAGAGTTTACCAGTATGTCTCAAAACAAATCTCACAACAAGAAATTTAAATATAGCAGAATTACCTCCCTTCCTTGAGGCGAGCTACATCTTGTAGTTTTTCCACCAAAACTTTACTGGTGTCACATGACGCTTCCAACAGCCCAACAGCTGCCAATTTACCGAAGTACTGTAGCAGAGTTGTCATAGGAATGACATTGATCAGGGCCCGCCAAACCTGTCAACAACATTTATTTATTACGTATCTCATCATACCGGCATGAAATTGAAAAAAGGCTGTTCAATCCTTAAATTTACATTCTGAATTTTTAGTTATTATTGACCTGAAATTTTCTATAATTGAAGTGTCAGTGTTGTCAGTACAAACAAGATTTCTGGATTGCCCTTACATCACCAAAATGTTTACTTCTACCATTGTCTCATGTTATTCGAGGCAGGAGGAGAATGTTCAAAATGATGTCGATCAAATTGCAATCATAACTCTATGAATGCAATTTCTTATGGTAATGCTTACAGAGGAACTCGCAGTGGAAATGTAAATGTCAGGAAGTATATCATAGGCCCTTTATTGGACAAGAAAGCTTAACAGTGTAAAGATCTAAGTTTTTGACGATGATATATGAGTCAGACTGCACAACTTGTCTGAATCCTGTATTATCCAGACCTTGATCAGAGAGTTGATCCCTGTGTATAGTTTCTGTGTTAATTGAACTGATGTTAATACTACCCTGGTAGTTCACCAAGCTTTATATTCCAGTCATGTTTATCGAGTTAGATTTGACAGCAGTTGAAAATCAGAAAAGGAATTTCACAGAAAAAAACCCATTTCATATTCTATAAAAACTGCAAGGTTTTCAAGAAGATCAATCTATTTTCATATAATTGCAAAAATGACCCATCCGATAATAATCTAAAACAAGAGGCCCATGGGCCTTAACGGTCACCTGCGGTCTACAGTATTGATTTTTGTTGTTGAAACATGAAGATAATGATGTCAATCATCCCAACCAATTTGAGTAAAAAATAGTTAAGTATAACGTTAAGCTTGTTTTGTCAGGACCATGATTTGATCATTCCTAGACCCAGTTTCAGTTAAATCGGCCTATTAGAACTTGATTTTAGTTTGAAATAGTGTTTTTTTCAAAATGGCCGCCATATTAGATTTCTGATCGACCAGCAAAATAACAACACTTTGTCAAATTGTCAGGACCATGAATAGATCATTCCTTCCAAGTTTCAGTTAAATCGGCCCTGTAGAACTCGACTTTAAGTTTGAAAGAGTTTTTCCAAATGGTGGCCATATTGGATTTCTGATCGACCCGAAAAATAACAACACTTTGTCAGGACGCATGAGTCGATCATTCCTACTAAGTTTCAAATAAATCATCCCAGTAGAACTTGACTTTAAGTTTGAAAGAGTTTTTCAAAATGGTGGCCTTATTGGATTTCTGATCAACCCGAAAAATAACAACACTTTGTCAGGACCAGGAGTCGATCATTCTTATAAGTTTTTTCAAAATGGCGGCCATGGTGGCCATACTTGAATTTTGATTGACCCGAAAAATCACAATGCTTGGTCAGGGAGATGTCAGTAACATTCCCATAAAGTATCAATGAAATCCCTTTGACAGTATTTCAGCTTAAGTTGAAAATGTTAAATGTTAACGGACGACGCACAATGACGGACGAAGACAGAAAGCAAAATGATACTGAAGTTCCTTATATCAGGAAATTACCTCTTTAGAGTTAAGAAGTTTGGTTGGTATACTCTCCAAACCAAAGCTGTGTTTTTCTACCAGGCACGCCACCTGGTGGTCATCTGTAGAGTGTTTGAGGGTATCCACGGTAACTAGGTAATCCAGGACCTTCCGTACATCTTCTGAGGCTCCTTCCTTGTCAAACTCCTTCTTAGCCTCCTCAATCCCTTTCACCAGATACTTGAAGATAAGGCAAGTAGCTGAAAAATAGCAAATTCAAAATAGACAGATCAGAATATTGTGAAATTTGGAAATTGATTATAAATTCATGGTCTGTAAGACAGGGAAACCTTCTTGCTTTTAAATTTATATCACAATATACATAGTTTTAGAGGGTATTTTTGTTACTACCTTACTAACAGTGTTTAACATAAATATAATGTTACTAAAATTCAACATTTTATTCAAAACAAATTCTATATCTATATCAAGGCAGAGTGGCCTATTTAGCATCATCATGTGTGCTTTACCTATTTTTATGCCCTGAGCCATTTTATATGTGTGCGGCTGGGCTGGAGATAATGATACATATAATGGTCCCCCATGTCTCTCCTGTCCCGTCAAGATAATGTCATGTCTTTAGCAAATTCATTTCTTGATGGATTTTGGTCAAAATTTATACAAAGTTAGGTCAAGTAATAGAATACTTTGGATGAGTTCATGTTTCAGACTGCAAAAGTCAAAGCCAAGGTCACTGTTGCTATTTATAGTTCAACCACAGGACCAAGATTCATGCATACTTGCCAACTCTACCTATTTAGGAGAGACTCCCAATTTTGGAACCTTAAATTTAGCATTTTCAAGCAGTGAATTTGCTTAACTATATTCTAAGATCTAATGATTTCATCTGAAAGAACAACTCAAAGGATGTAATTTTAAAGGGTTTAATTGTTTTAATTGCGTTTTAAATTTGATCATGCAGAATCTCCACCCTGGAAATTTCAAAAAGTTGGCAAGTATGTTCATGTCTTACAGATGTTTTCTAGATTTTTTAATTTCTTTTGTTGTTTTGCTTCAATATTAACTCATTCAACCCTAAAGACACATTTGAACTCTTCCAATTCAAAGGTTGGAATAGTTTATTATTAAATTTCAGGGGTGAATAAAATAAGATGGTGGCAATATTGGATTTTTGAACATTAATCATTAACAATAACAACCCATGATCAGGGCAATGATGGGAATGTTTACAACTGCTTCAATACAAATTCAGTGGAACTTCAAAATTAGCTGAAAATGTCACTGCAAATTTGATGACAGGACTACCATCTTGACTATCGTATCAAACCGAAAAAGATCAACACAAGTGTAGGACTATATGAAGATTATATATGTACACAAAGTTTGGTTAGAATTTGCCTAAAAGTTCAGAAGAGGTTGAAAATGTCTCAGCCAATCAGAGGCCTGGACAGCTATCTTTGATTCTGAATTGACCAGAAATATTATAAAACTTGATTAGAGCTGTGACAAGAGGGTATATACAAAGTTTTGTCAGAATTGGCTCAACGTAGGTTGATAAGAAATTAAAATGTTTCAGCCAATCAGAGGCCAGGATGCCCATCTTGTTTTTAAGACAGCCTAAAACTAAAAAAAATGTCAGAGCTATGAGATAATCATATGCAATAGGTTTTGGTGTGTTGAAAACTTAAAAGCAGCAAATAATGACCAGCCCCATTTTTTATAAATCCCTTACCTGGTAATGGGTCTCAAGTCAACTTTGATACTCATTATTTTCCCCTAAATCAAACGTAACCTCATGTTTATTTTTGCCTTGCCAAAAGCAAAATGAACTTGATTGAGTTCACATTCATAGAATTATGAATTTAACGTATGTCAATGTGATTCTTTCATTCATATACACAAAACAATTTTTTTTATAATGTAAATACAGGGAGTTTATGGGCTTCAGGAATCCCCATTGCCCTGGAAAAAATTCATTCTTAGCAAGCAATGTAATAGAATAAAAACACAGCTGATGAAGAAACTTTCACTATCTTTATTTCTGAAGTGGAGGCACATTTCGTACTACACCACAACTCTGATTCACCAGTACGAGGTACCCCTCCCTCTATGCTCATCTTCCTAAGTGGAGTTTGCTGTGGCCCCATCTAACTATAACCATATGCTGGATAACTCGCTCTATAACCTCACAACATCTTAGCAGAGAAGATTCTAGTGTTTTTCTTCTTTAGAGATTCTGATTCTGAGATTTTTTTTAACATGTCTTTCCTACACTTAACTCCCAGGAATGCAACACGCATGTGGTAATTCCATTGCTAAAGAGAAGTCAATACAAGCAACAGTGCTTACCGATGTGCTGTCAAAATGTGTTAACCAGTAAAATGAGAAATAATTGAAAATAGTGTATCCAATCAGAGGCCAAGGTGGAATATTATCTCATATGCATCCAATCAGAGTCCAGAAGGGCCATATGATATCATATCATGCCAGGTCAGTCAATTAGGTGTCTATCTTTTATGCAGTCAGTAATAAATTGTTTTATGTTCTTTTATGTAGTCAGTAATATGTTATATATCCAGCCAAGCTAGGTCAATCTTACATAACAGATATGTATAAAGGGAAGAGGCCTAGAGGGATATGGTTTCTAGCCAGGTCAGGGTATCGATGTTATATACCAGTGACCGATGATGTGGCTATGTTACCCTATAATGGGAAATTTTTGCCTTGTCAAACTTTCGCCATACTCAGGTAAAATCCACGTTCTCCCAGTGTTAATTTTGCCTTTCACATTTTTAAAATTAATATGTTAATTATGTTGTTTACAAATGTTTCACTGTAACAATAATTTGCCTTCATTATGAAGGGCAACAAAAGGAGAAAGTTAACACTGAGGCATAAATTTCAGTTCACATTACATCATATGATATTGGAGGTTTAGCTAGGGGGGGCCATGTTATATCACCACCAGCCAGGTAAGGGTGTTCATCTTACATCATGTATCAGAGGCCTTCAGGTCACAGGACTAGGACAGTCATCTTATTACTGATCCAGTATATATACATGAGTGACATCAAAACTGACAGTACATGTTAGGGACCACTGCAGTACTCTAGTGCTGTACCAGTCAATCATAATGTAATCATTACATATTTGTTGCTGGCATTGCAGTGACCAATCTTTTGACTGTTGCTGAATATAGCACCTTCTACATGTAAGAGCTCAGTACACAACCTGTTGGTGGTACAATGTATACATCTACATGTAAGTACATCAACTGCTGGTTCATCCCTTGGTGGTGATATTAACAGTACATCACATCTCCCAGGGTGTGACAATATAAACTGCTGAGTCATCCCTTGGTGGTGATATTAACAGTACATCACATCTCCCGGGATGTGACAGTATAAACTGCTGAGTCATCTCCTGATGGTGATATTAACAGTACATCACATCTCTCGGGATGTGACAGGATAAACTGCTGAGTCATCCCTTGATGGTGATATTAACAGTACATCACATCGCCCGGGATGTGACAGTATAAACTGGTGATATTAACAGTACGTCACATCTCTCTGGATGTGACAGTATAAACTGCTGAGTCATCTCCTGATGGTGATATTAACAGTACATCACATCTCTCGGGATGTGACAGGATAAACTGCTGAGTCATCCCTTGATGGTGATATTAACAGTACGTCACATAGCCCGGGATGTGACAGTATAAACTGGTGATATTAACAGTACGTCACATCTCTCGGGATGTGACAGTATAAGCTGCTGAGTCATCCCTTGGGGGTGATATTAACAGTACATCACATCTCCCAGGGTGTGACAATATAAACTGCTGAGTCATCCCTTGGGGGTGATATTAACAGTACATCACATCTCCCAGAGTGTGACAATATAAACTACTGAGTCATCCCTTGGTGGTGATATTAACAGTACATCACATCTCCCAGGGTGTGACAATATAAACTGCTGAGTCATCCCTTGGTGGTGATATAAACAGTACATCACATCTCCCGGGATGTGACAGTATAATCTGCTGAGTCATCTCTTGATGGTGATATTAACAGTACACCACATCTCTCGGGATGTGACAGTATAAACTGCTGAGTCATCTCCTGATGGTGATATTAACAGTACATCACATCTCTCGGGATGTGACAGGATAAACTGCTGAGTCATCCCTTGATGGTGATGTTAACAGTACATCACATCTCCCGGGATGTGACAGTATAAACTCCTGAGTCATCCCTTGATGGTGATATTAACAGTACATCACATCGCCCGGGATGAGACAGTATAAACTGCTGAGTCATCTCTTGGTGGTGATATTAACAGTACATAACATCTCTTGGGATGTGACAGTATAAACTGCTGAGTCATCCCGTGATGGTGATATTAACAGTACGTCACATCGCCCGGGATGTGCCAGTATAAACTGCTGAGTCATCTCTTGGTGGTGATATTAACAGTACATAACATCTCTTGGGATGTGACAGTATAAACTGCTGAGTCATCTCTTGGTGGTGATATTAACAGTACATAACATCTCTTGGGATGTGACAGTATAAACTGCTGAGTTATCCCTTGATGGTGATATTAACAGTACGTCACATCGCCCGGGATGTGCCAGTATAAACTGCTGAGTCATCTCTTGGTGGTGATATTAACAGTACATAACATCTCTTGGGATGTGACAGTATAAACTGCTGAGTTATCCCTTGATGGTGATATTAACAGTACGTCACATCGCCCGGGATGGGACAGTCTAAACTGGTGATATTAACAGTCCGTCACATCTCTCGGGATGTGACAGTATAAACTGCTGAGTCATCCCTTGGTGGTGATATTAAGAGTACATCACATCTCCAAGGCTGTGACAGTATAAACTGCTGAGTCACATGTATACCTTGGCAATGATATATGGGGCAAAGAAGTAATTCCAACAGTGTGGACAAGTTTAAGTTGTCAAATTTTCGGAGCAATCCGCTCCTTTTTCAAGACACAGTGAAACAGAACAGTTACATGTACATATACATCATATTACAAGAAGATAGAATTGATCTTCTATACATGTACACATCACATTTCCCAGTGTGTGACAGAATAAAGTTGCTGAGTCATCCCTTGGTGGAGATATTACAGTACATCACATCTCCCAGGGTGTGATGGTTAAAACCATTGTTTCATCCCGTGTTGGTGATATAACATACAATGTTTATGTAGTACATCA